ATAGAATGTGCTCAAGCATTTCCTCGCAGGCGCAGATTTTGCATGCCGAAGTGCTCGCCATTCCAAGGAGACGAGAGTACGAATTCGTAAATGCCACGCCCAACCGCATGCGACACCGTGAAGTTTCAGCGCATCGTGGGAGCCCGGATGGCAAACGAAGTTACAAGTTTGAGTCGATCGAATACAGGTGCGTGTTGGAGAAACCCTGCGTATTCCATTGTAGGAGAGATATACGTCGAGAAAGTGATTGTAGTAGCCTTGCAGCGTCCGTTCACAAGAGTAGTAGGGCGTGCGCTGGTCTTGGTCATGAGCCGATCGAGCAGCTTCATCCGCGTGGTCATTGCCGACGATTCCGCAATGACTCGGCAACCACTGAAATACAATATCGTGACTTTCCTTGAGTGCTTCGTGGTAGTTGGGCCTTATCTGATATACTGATTGTTCGTGTAACCCGTGCTGCATAACAAACCGTAGTGACTGTAAGGCTGACCTGGAGTCGCAAAAGATGGCCCATTGGTTAGGTTGCTGCCAAAGAATGTACTTTACTGCACCTTAAAGTGCTGTGATCTCTGCTGCTGTCGACGTCGTGGTGTGAGAAAACTTGTACTGAAGCAGCACATTTTCAGATGGAACAACCACTGCTCCTGTAGAGCTGTTGGAAATAGTGGATCCATCGGTGTAAACATGTATGCGGTCGAAGTACCTTTCGTCCAACAGACGCAAAGTCAATTGCTTCAGGGCTAGCGTTCACATGCGTGCCTTCTTAACGATTCCAGGAACTGATAAGCGCACGTCAAGTTGACGAAGACTTCATAGCGCAGCTGCTGGATGCATCGCAAGTTTGAAGCCAGGCGGTAGTATGTCCTGATGTTTTGTCACAATACCGCAGTACGAAGAATGGGCCTCCGAGCTGTCAAACACGCTAAATGATGTGACGGTAGCCGTGACAAATGCCGAATGTGCGCTCTCAGTCTCTCGACAATGATATGCGTTGTGACCGGTTGTTCTTGTGCAATAACAATAGTTGACACTATCGATGACCATCTTGGAAGGCCAAGGCATGTCCGAAGTGCTTGGGCTTGTACGCTTTGCAGTGCACGGATGTTAGTCTTGCACATGTTGGACAGGACAGGAAGGCTGTACAGGAGAGTGTCGAGAAAGAGGGCTGTGTAAAACTGCAACATGGAGTGCATGGATGGGCCCCATGATTTTCCGGCGATGAACTTGAATACATTCTCAATGCCAATGAGCTTTTTCTTCAGGTATGTGACATGCGGGCTCCAGGTTAGGTCACCATCTACGATGACACCTAAGAATCTATGAGTGCTCTTATATGGGATTGATCTGCCATCGATGCACAATGGGTAGAAAGACATCTGTTTGCGTGTAAACGCCACCGCTGCGTATTTTTTTTTTGTGGCGATAGTCAAACCTTGCTGGCGAAGGTATGTCGATGTCACTGTTGCCGCTTTCTGTATTCTTGCGCGCACTTGAGGCCGTGTCACGCTGGGCGCCCAAATGCAGATATCGTCAGCGTAGAGAGATATATAAGCCGTCTGTGGCAGCATTTCGGTGAGACCCACGAGAACCAGGTTGAAAAGAGTCGGACTCAAAACACCGCCTTGTGGCACCCCACGACTTGTGAAATACTTATTCGTAGACCCATCTTCAGTTGGAACGAACATGGATCTCTTTGTGAGGTAACTTTTTACCCATCGAAAGACACGACCTCCAAGTTCAGCTGCTTCAAGAGCATTAAGAACATCCTCATGAGTCACGTTGTCATAGGCACCCTTCACTTCTAAGAACAGAGCTACCGACAGCCGTTTATGAGCTCTCTGATGCTGAACAGAGGCCACTAAGTCAATAACGCTATCAACTGAGGACCGATCTCGTCGAAAACCCGCCATAGCATCAGGATGGATGTTATAATGTTCCAGGCACCATTCCATGCGTGTAAGCAGCATCCTCTCCATGACCTTGCCCACGCAGCTTGCTAGTGCTATAGGCCGGTATGATGCCAAATCGAACGGAACTTTCCGGGCTTCAGCAAAGGCACCAGGCGACTACACTTCCACTCATCAGGCACCATTCCATCATGCCATGCGCATGGTGAAAGGTGCTTTAGTTCAATGGGCGCAAGATGTCGGGGCAACATGCGTACAGAGCACTCACAATGTAGGCAGAAGCAACATCCGCGTTGACGCCCGACAGCGATATCACCAATGGCCAATTTTATTGTTTCAATTTTGTTTATCGAATGCGAAGCAGTGCTTATTTCTAGCCACTTACGCTTGGGTGCTCTCGTGACCAGCTCCTTAATTTGGCATGAACCAAAATTAGCATGGGAAGGTAAGATGGTTTTACGAATATGATGCGCAGGTGAAGACGTGAATGATAGGGGTTTTTAGCAAGCCACGAAAACGCGCTACAAATAATACGACACGGTTTCTTTCCGTATGCGCGTACATTGGTCGCTCATGTGCACTCGTCAGCCGGTTCCGTGTTGCCGCCTTTCCGTAACGTGTTTCTGTACCTTGCTAAAAACCTCTGTTGTCACAATCCGGCGCGTACGTCGTCAAACACTCCTCTCCAGACAGTGGCACATTCCCACGGGCGGGTGTGTGCCGCTGGTATGCGGGTATGTGCCACAGGTGATTGACACTTACTATCTTACCAGTACCGATGAGAACAGATGCACATGGGCAGTTTTAACATGCGAGCGTTAAGAAAAACCGCACATCGGTGATGTCGACCCGACGAATGCAAAGAATAAATGTCAGGGTCCAAGCTGGACTAGAACCCAAGAGTTCTGCGTGGCAGTGAAGCATTCTAACAGAGCTTTGCTAGGTCTGTGAAGTGCTTTTCGAATAGACGCTTATATTCGTGAAACGTCAATGGTGGTTGCAGTGCTGCCTACCCAATTTTATAAACATTACATATGTACTCTTTTGATACAGCCCTTCCGTCGCGTTAACGTCTATTGTGGCTAGTTGCCACGCGCTGAAGTTGATTTGTGTGTGTCTAGGGCCAGCATCATCGCCAGCATCAGCGCTTCATATCAGCTTCTGGCGTTGCTAACACCTATGTTCCAGTTGGCATCGTTGCGTAAGTGCAAATAACTGGTAATATAAACATCTGCAACTCTTCAAAATTTTTCTGTGCTTGCAACATTTGTACACATATTTAACGTCACTTCATGACGTGTGACTCAATAAAAAAATTAAACACGGCTACCTTCCTTCCGCATGCTTTGCATATCGTGAACTCCCAGGTACGAGCGATATGGCATTTTTTCATGCTGTAAGACTTAACAGGCTCTTATAGAAGTGGGTCCAAAAGAATACAAATTGGTTACTACATATGTACACAACGAGCGAAAAACAAAATATTAGTAGCAACAAAAGTTAGTAAAAATCGAAACACGAGAGGATGACTACACAGACGAATAGATGAAACTACATTTAAAAAAAAGAAAACAAACAGAGCACAGACTAACAGGGGAGAGAACACATTAGACAACTCTACGAATGAAAACTGGCACTCACAAGTAGCCTGTTGCCCCCGGTAGCAGCGTAATATGCATATACCAAGTTTTTCCTACATTTATTTTCGTTCCCCATTCGTTACGCCATCTCGCAATGTTAGTGAGGGAGGTATTTAGCCAGATTTGGTCATCTATCGTTCGCACTGTGGTATAAATGACGCAGTCATCCGCAACGAGTCTCACCGTTACATCAGGTTCAACGTAAGAGTGAATGTCGTTAACGAAAAAAAGATATAGAATGGAGCCTAGCACGGACCCCTGCTTTAAGGTCTCCTAATTTTCTGGGACCATTGTTAAAAAGCTACTTTCAATGGCAATGTTAAAATCATGGCATCATTAATTATGTCCCAAATAAACCACAGTAAAAGAACAAATAATATTCACTGCATTTTTCGCGGCTTCAGTTTGTTTCTTCCATTGTGTTACGTGAAAACAAAAATGACAAGTATCACACCAAGGGCCCTTCTTTTGTTGTTGGCATTAAGTAATATATACGATACTAGCAGTAGATAAAGGCAGAAGCATAACCTATGTCTCCCAAACTACATACAACATTCCCGCACCTGGTTCATTCACTTGAGACCACATCAATTTTTCTATTCCCACATGTGGCACTTCCGGAATGTCTAACATCACGGAAAAGTTACGTAACCTGCAGACTCAGGGTAAAATTTTTGTGTGTGTTTAGTGAATCCTTCTTGTACTGTGGGCTTCTTTTTAATGAAATTGCAGTGTCTTCAGATGAACACTAATTCTTTTTATTTTAAATTCTCTAAGGCTGCCACTTATGAGCACATGCATGGTTCATTTTGTTTAAGGCGGTTTCTTATTGGTATCGCAAATTTACGCCACGCACTCTTTATTTTTGCGCAGGTAGCCAAAAGGAGATCAATTGTGTTCGGTGATGTATCGTTGATTTTGAAGCACTTTAGAGTCCTCTGCTGATTTTTTTCACTTTAGTAGTTTTTTACATTTGCCGGGGACATCGTCTTCAGAGAAAATGACGTCCTTCACGGCGATGATGAACACCCTGTGAGAAAAATCGTCACTCTGTTAACTTTTTTGATCACATAAAAAACTGACAGGTCAAGTTGAAAGCAGGAGGACATCGTTTCTCTTCATTCCTGGTTTTGCTTTCGTGCTTCTAAGTCTCTTTTTTTTTCTTCTCCATTTGTATTCATATTATGTAGTAAAACCTTATGCGAGTTTACCTAGGAGCTATAAGTCACTGACTAACAAGAAATATTGTGTGTGTAGCTTACAATATTTCGCTTTCTGCGTTAAATATTGTAATAACGTGAGCAGCAGACAGCATACCAAGAAGCAACTGATAAGTTTATTAGAAGACGCACCATATATAGGCGCAGAACCACGTGATCGGTCGCACAGGAATGCGCGCACTGGGTGCGCAGTGATAAGTGACGTCACGCTACAACACTCCTTCCCCTTCAGATTACTTCCGAAAGTCACTGGACTGGTATCTGTTCGGGGCATGTCGTACACGTGCACTACGACGCAGAGTTGGAAGTTCGGCTGCAGGTGGCGCGTCGTCGGCACTGGGCTGGTCCGGCGAGCCGGAGGCAGCTGCTCCGGCCGTGGGCGATGCAGTTGCCGGAAGGAGAGACGTCGCAGAGTCGGTTGCGTGTGGATTTACGAGAGGCGACCCGGCGACTGGCCCACACGCCATCGGAACCGTCGGTGGAGTCGTGTCTACGGATGCCGTTGGAGCAGGTTGTGCCTGCGGATAACTTGAAGAATCCTGGCTTCCGTGGCGGGCTCTGATGTGGTCCGAATGCGTAAATCGCACCGCCTGCGACACTTTCACCAGATAGGTTACGGGACTGATAACCTGTGTCACGACACCATCTTCCCACGACACTGTTTCACCTCGCACAGTCTTCACCCACACAGCGTCCCCCACAGCAAAACATCGCGGAACCCCCCTAGACATGTCCTTTTGCACTTTGGTACGTTGCTGCTGCTCCCGCATGGAGAGCTCGAAATCTGGTTTTAGCAATGACAGCTTTACCCGTGGCTGTCTTTTCAAGAATAATTCTGCCGGGGTCTGGCGAGTGGTACTGTGCGGAGTAGTCCTGTAACTCATTAGATAGCTGTCCAAGCGTTCCCGAAATGAATGTTTGTGGTGGCTAGCTTTGTCCTGCAAGACATGCTTTGACAGTGCTTGTTTGGTAGTCTGCACTAAACGCTCGGCCGCTCCGTTAGAAGCCGCGTGATAAGGAGGTGTCTTGACATGCCTTACACCGTTTACACTCAAGAAGGCCGCGAACTCTTCGGAAATGAACTGCGGTCCATTATCACTCACCAGTACCTCTGGCAGACCATACGCGGCAAACATACTACGTAGCTTCTCAATGGTTTTGTTAGCAGTAGTGGATGACATAGGCGAGACCTCGATCCATTTAGAGAACGCGTCGACGAGAACCAAGAACGCCTGAGAGCCCTTTACCGCATAATCGACGTGCACGCGTTGCCAGGGCCTTGTGGGATAATTCCATGGTTGCAAAGGAACCGGTGAAGCAGCTTTTTGGACGGCCTGACAAACCTGACATTGTCGAACGTAGCTCTCAACCGAAAGGTCGAGGCCAGGCCACCACACAAAGCTTCTTGCTAACGCTTTCATGCGACTAGATCCCGGGTGGTCCTCATGCAATAGCTGCAAGACCTGTAGCTGGAGCTTATCAGGTATGATCACCCTTGATCCCCACGTTATGCATTCTTGCTCTACTGATAGCTCGTCGCGCCGGGAATAAAATGGTCTAAATGCTTAAGAGCACTCTGAAGGCCATCCATTTAAGATGAAGTGCGTCACGCGAGACAAGGTGGGATCACGTCGTGTGGCTCGCGCTACGTCATCCGCTTTGAGGGGCATGCTGTCAAATAGCAAGAGACACTCGGAAGGTTCATCGGCCGCTACAATAGGCCGTGGAAGCCGAGACAGAGCGTCAGCCACTTCAACATTTCTTCCCTTTCGGTATTTTAGTTTATACTGGTACGCTGCCAGGGTAATTGCCCATCTTTGCATTCGAGCTGCAGCAAGCGCAGGCACCGGCTTGTCGTGGCCTAATATTCCGAGCAATGGCTGATGATCTGTATAAAGAGTGAACTCTCGTCCATACAAGTAGCGGTGGAATTTTCTTAACCCAAACATCAGTGCTAATGCTTCGCGTTCGCACTGAGCATAGTTTTTCTCTGCGGCTGTAAGTGTTCTAGAAGCAAATGCCACTGGCCTTTCGTGTCCCTCTGCGGTCTCATGAAAAATGACAGCCCCCAATCCATACGACGAAGCGTCACATGTCATAGCCATTGGTTTCGCCACATCGTAAAAAGTGAGCACATTACTCTTGACAAGTAACAGTTTCGTAGAAGCAAATGCTTCGCTACACTCCCGTGTCCACGACCACCTTTCGCCCTTGCGCAACAGACGGTACAATGGCTCTGCCACGCAGGCAAGGTTACTTAAGAACTTTGCATAAAAGGTTAACATGCCGAGATAAGCCTTTAGCTCTGTTTGGCAAGTGGGCTCTGGCGCTTCTGTGATCGCCTTTATCTTTTCTTCTGTAGGATATATACCTTCAGCGCACACAGTGTGACCGAGATAAGTCACAGTGCTCTGAAAAAACCGACACTTTTCCTCTTTCAGTGTCACGTTGTAGTCACTCAGCCGCTGCAGGACTAGTTCCCACGTTTTTTGACAGTCGGCTAAGTCTTTTCCCGACACAATGACGTCGTCTATGTAACATCCCACGTGCGGTATGCCTTTGAGCACCTCATCCATGAAGGACTGAAAAATGGCTGGCGCACTGGCTACCCCAAATGGTAAGCGCTGGAACTCGAACAGCCCCCTGTGCGTATTAATAGTTAGCAGTGGTCGGGACTCGGCAGTGAGCGGAATCTGCTGATACGCGGCCGAAAGATCCAACACACAAAACACTCTGCCGCCAGCTATGGCAGAGAACAAATCTTCCGGTCTAGGCAATGGGTAGTGGTCGGTCTTTAAAACAGGATTAATGGTGACTTTGTAGTCCCCGCACAGCCTCAGTGAACCATCTTTCTTTTGGATTACGACTACTGGCGTGGCCCAATCGCTCCGATTTACGGGGCGTATAACACCGCTTTTCTCTAGCCTTTCTAGCTCGCCTTCCACTTTATCTCGAAGCGCAAATGGGACGTTTCTGGCCTTGCCAAAAATAGCCGTGCAATTCTGGCTTAAAACTATCCTTGCTTGATAGTTTTTTACTTTTCCAGGTTGCTTAGAAAACACCCCTGGGAACTTCTTTTTAACCGCCTCTACCTTGTGAGAGTCGCTTACATTTATAGCAAACACGCTTTTCCAGTCAAGCCCGAGCCTTTCAAGCCAACTTCGCCCCATCAGCAATGGTAGCTGCTTGCCGTTATCCTTGACGATAATAGCGGGTAGCCGCAAAGACTGTTTTCCCACCGTAACGGAAACGTTGCATTGCCCTTTTACTGGAACAGGTTCCCCAGTGTATGTTTTTAGGGTGACTCGAGATGGCTCGCACTTGACATGAGGAAATGCGTTCAGCCTCACACTCTCAGGAATTAGTGTTACAGCTGCTCCCGTATCAATCTGCATGCAGAGGTCTTGCCCTTCTACGTTTAGCTGCACTTCATACCCAGAACGCACGGTATTGATAACATGGTACACATCTAATTCAGAGTCACTATCAGAGCAGTCCACCACGTTTGCAGTCTTGAGTTCTCTGCGATTACTTGGACACATCTTCTGTAGATGACCGATTTGAGAACAGCTGTGACACTGGACGTTCTTATACCAGCAAACACTAGCCGCATGCGCCTTGCCACATCTTTCGCAAACTCGCTTGGCTTCCTTGAGCTTCCGAAGCTTCGATTTCTTTTCGCTTCCTTTTCCTCCTATCGCCATTGCATAAAAAGCCGCTTCCTTGCCTTCTGCATGAAGTAACGCTGTCTGTCGCGCAGCCTGCTCTCGGTCCTGGGCTATCTTGCACGCCTTTTCGAAGGTTAAATCTTCTTCAGCAAATAGGGCGAGTTGCGTTTCCTCGCGTCTTATGCCTGCCACTATTCTGTCTCGCAGCGCGTCTTGCAGAAACTGACCGAAATCGCACTTCCTTGCTAACTGTTTTAAGGCCACTATGAAGTCCTCGACGCTTTCCTGCTCTTCTTGTGCTCGCTTGTTAAATTTGCAACGTTCGGCAATGACCGAGCACTGTGGGCTATAGTGTTTCTTCAACAGCACTGTGACCTCTTCAAAGGACTTGTCCCCAGGAACAGCGGGTACTACCAAACTTTTGAGCACCTCGTACGTTCGTGGTCCTATCACACTCAAGAATACTGCCAGCTTCTTTTCCTCTCTGATGTCATTTGCGGTGACTAAGTGCTCAAAACGCTCCAGATAGGATTCAAAATTCTGATCCTTCTCGTTGAACTCGTCTAGCTTGCCTAGTCGCGCCATTGTTCAGTAAAAGTGCAGTATACTTATCGGGTTGCTTTCCCCGACGACTGCGTTGCCTCTTGCCGAAGGTAGTGCCGCCGAGTTCAACCGTCCCAGGCCATGGCTGCCGTTGTTTTCTGGTCCATGGCTGTCGACCGCCGATCGCCCGCAATACTGCTTCGTACTGAGCTAGTACAAGGGGGCGGATCCCATCCTCGTCGCCAGTGTAATAACGTGAGCAGCAGACAGCATACCAAGAAGCAACTGATAAGTTTATTAGAAGACGCACCATATATAGGCGCAGAACCACGTGATCGGTCGCACAGGAATGCGCGCACTGGGTGCGCAGTGATAAGTGACGTCACGCTACAACAAATATATCTCCGCGTATACCAAGCACTCGTTGCCCTTTTAGTTGTGTCTCGGTTGTCGGGTCTCGTCATTACGCCCGCATGCACCGTCGGCGCTTCAAACGCGTGAATCTAGGTTTTCTGAGTGCCTTGGGCAGCCCCTCTCCTGCAGAGCTGCGGGAGATGAAAGCACAAGGAACCAGCCCCACTTGGCCTTAGCGGCCATCACGGCGTGCAGTGCGCCGTGAATGACGGCGTCACGCCGCAATAAGCAGAACGCGTGGGACCCCTCTTTCAAGCCTGGCATCGGTTTTCTGTCGTAGACGGTGACTGTCTCCCAATTACGACTAATGAGAGGTACCATATGGCATCACCAGAGAATCGTGCACACTAAGAAAAAAAAGGGTCATTGGACTCCTTTCGAGCATTTCTGACGTGCCACGCATACGACTCTCTTTCAAGATGCACGTTAGCTCTCTTTGGGAGTCCTTTATACTCTTTTCCAGGAGCCATGTGGCCCATAACACACCTCTCTTAGGAGATTTGTTTACGTGGCACATCAGGACTACCCAAATAAAGTTACACATATTCCTTTTTTTTCTTTTTTAGAATGCGATGGCTACTCGCGCGCTACACTAGAGAGGTAGTTGATGTGGTTGCTTACATGAGTCGGAATAGGACATGCCTGACTTAAAAATTGTCACACACACACACACACACACACATACACACACACACACACACACACACACACACACACACACACACACACGCACACGCACACGCACACACACACACACGCGCGCGCGCGCACACGCACACGCACACGCACACGCACACACGCACACACGCACGCACACACACACACACACACACACACCTAAACTGAGCACCATGAAAAGAAGGACGCAGATAGCAAAGCTGACTTACCATACAATATATACCCGTGAAATATCCAACGAAAATGTCTAAATTATATATGTAGCACGTATACGCGTAAGTATTGCTCAACTTTCACAGAAAAAAAGCTTTTTACAAGTCTGCCCTGTCATCTGGGCCCGTTTTCTCTGGTTCTCCGTGTTTTCCCTTTGTAACTTGAAATGCTCCGACTGAGTCACAATGCACGTCCGAAAAAGCTTTATCATTGATGCCGCGAGCTAAACATGAGCAAGCGCAAAAAAACTGAAAAAAGACAAAAGCCAGTTTTTTTCGTATCTTTTAGGGAGCTATTCAGTTGGCTTACTCCAGTAAAAAAAAAAAAAACCTTTCTAGTGTTGTAACTGTAAGTATGTGGTATTACCAATACGAAAAACTGGCTAATCCCACGTACAGTGAAAATCAATGATATGTAAAGCCCGAATGAAGAAGGTGGATATGTAACTTTGAGATCAACACAAGCTAAGAGGTGGACGTAAATTATGCCGTACATGACATCCATCTCATGGTTATAAAGTTTGGACGTGTCATTTACCTTATTCATCTACTAACGTCACGTGGTACGAAATTTCGTATTAATGAAGCAAGCAAAGCTGTCGAAAGCGCACTAGGAGCGTAGCATGTAGTTATGTATGACATGACACCCATCTCATGATTATCATGTTTGGACGTTTAATTTACCTTCGTTGACCAATGTCACATAACACCGAATTTTATATACTTGGAGCTAGAGAAACGGCCACAAGCATGCTATGAGCGTAGCGTGAAGTCACGTTTTACAAGACAAGCATAGCATGTATCATGTTTCGACATGTTGTTTACCTTTTTCGTTGATTCACGTCACGTGACACGTAATTTTTTATATTTAGAGCAAGAAAAACGGGCGAGAGCGCGCTATGAGCATAGCATCTAGTCACGTTTTACACGACACGCATAAAATAAATGACTATACTGTTTTGACGTGTCATTTACATGCGTCGTTCATTCACGTCCCGTCACCAAATTTGGTATATGTGAAGCTAGCGAAACAGCCATGAGCGCATCAAGAGCGTGGCATGTAGTCATGTTTTTACATGACACGCATCTCATGACTATCGTGTTTGATCAGTCACATACCTTCGTCATGCATTCACGTCCCGTAATACCAATTTCGTATATGCGAAGATAGCGAAACAGCCAAGAGCGCATCGTGAGTGTGGCATGTAGCAATTTTTTTACATGACACGCAAGTCATGATTTTTGAAAGAAATATACTTTCTTAGTGCGCACTGAAGGTTTTCAGAAGGAAGATAGAGCCGAGAGATAGGACAAAGCGCATGATGTCACTTGGTTCAGTCACTTGTGTTCGCCATTCAGTCATGTCTTACCGTACGAATATATCAATATGGGATGTGAACGAAACCACCACAAATGCAGTAAGACCGTGAAATGTAATTCATACCATTTATGACATACATGTCATGATTTTCATGTTAGGACTAGTCACCTATGCTCGTCATAGAGTCATGTTATGTCATATCAGATTTGGTATCGATACCATTAACGATACAGCCATAGGCGTAGGTGGCTAGCTAGCTAGCTAGCTAGCTAGCTAGATAGCTAGATAGATAGATAGATAGATAGATAGATAGATAGATAGATAGATAGATAGATAGATAGATAGATAGATAGAGAGATGATAGATAGATAGATAGACAGATAGATAGATAGATAGATAGATAGATAGATAGATAGAGAGATAGATAGATAGATAGATAGATAGATAGATAGATAGATAGATAGATATGCTCAAAGTTGCCAAAGTTCGCTAAAGTATGCTTCGCATCTAAAAAATCCGGCCGATCCCATATACATGAAAATCAACGTTATGCGAAGAATGCGGAGGGAAGGTTGCCATGTTGCAACGAACAGACATATGTTGGAGAGTTGTAGATGTTTATATAATCAGTTCTTTGCACTTGCGCAACCATGCCAATTGAAACAGACGTATTAGCAACACCAGAAGCCTATATGAAGCGCTGATGCTCGCGAAAATGATGGTCCTGGACACTGCTACATAAATCAATTTCAGCGCATGACAACTTACCGCAATTAATATTAACCAGACGTGACGGCTGTATTAAAGGAGTACATATGTAATGTTTATAAAATTGGGCAGGCAGCACTGAAACCACTACTGACGTTTCACAAAGATTAGCGTCTATTTGAAAAGTAGTTTTGAGACCTGGCGTAGCTCTGGTACGATGTTTCATTGCCACACAGAATGCTTGGGTCCGATTACAGCTGGGATTCTGAGATTTATTATTTGCATTCGTCAGGTTGACGCTACCGATGTCGGCTATTTCTGAACGCTCACGTGTTAAAATCGGCCATGTCTGTTCTCGTCATTTCTAGGTAGATACTAAGTGTCAATCACCTGTGGCACATACTCGCATACCAACGGCACATACTCAGCCCTGGGTATGTGCCACTGTCTGGCGGGAAGTAATTGAGGACCTACGCAACGTTATTGGGACATTATTCGTGTCTTGACCTGCTCGTCATGTTTGTCAAACCATCTTACCCTCCCATGCTAATTTTGGTTCACGCCAAGTTGAAGGGGTGACCACCAGAGCATCCAAACGTAAGCGGCTCGATAGATATATAGATAAACGCGCTCATCGTTGCGGAAGTTCACAATCATGCCGTGCATTGAAAAAAAAAACACAGCATAAATGACTGAAAAGCGAATTGAAAATGAGAACTACCAGATTGATATGTGGGGTTTAACGTCCCAAAACCACTACATTATTATGAGGGACGCCGTAGTGAAGGGCTCCGGAAATTTCAACAACCTGGAGTTCTTTAAAGTGACCCAAATTTCAGCACTCGACCCTACAACATTTCTGCCTCCATCAGAAATGCAGCCACCACCGCCGAGATTTGATCCCGCGACCTGCGGGTCAGCAGCCGAGTACCTTAACCACTTGATCACTGTGGTGGGGTGCGAGAGCGAGAGAGAAAACTACCAGAAAAGGAAGCATATCAGAAGGGAATGTATGGTGAGGTAATAACACTAGTACTTCTATTGTGAATGAGAAGAAAGTGAAGGCGACGTAACGATAACTTGCCGCCCGCACGAACCGAACCAGCAACCTTCGGATAACGCATGCGATGCTTAACAACTCCGCAAGGGCAGAAGTCGTTGTCCGTCAACTTTATGAGGTTTTATGTACATTTAAACCTAGGAGTGGTATCGCCGGCCGCATCTATGGCAGCCAGTGCGTAACACTCTTCTTCCTGTATGTTAGCGTCATGTATTGCGTAATCTCTTTGCTGCTCTCCTGTCCCGTGACTAGACTGCGAGAATGACTGCGTGTTAGTTAGGAAGAGCTGTTTTTTTTAATTTTTATGGCAGGCCTGGTATGCAGAAGGTTTGCCGTGTGTCGTGGAAAGTTATCATTGCCAAGAATCGGCACACACTATCCTCGTCTTCTTCTGCTTCAGTAACAAAACACAATGGGTTGATTTTTCTGACGTAGTGTGCAATAACTCTGATGAGCGAGAGCTTCAGTAAGATAAAGAGGCAGAAAGAAAGCCTGAGTAACTGCAAACAAGAAAAATTTTCACTGAAGCGATATTCACACCCATGAATTAAAGGGGAGCATCGTATACCCATTCGGCTATCAGGTTTTTGCATGACGTAATATAATAATAATAATAATAATAATAATAATAATAATAATAATAATAATAATAATAATAATAATAATAATAATAATAATAATAATAATAATAATAATAATAATAATAATAATAATAATAAAATAATAATATACATTAACATTAATAATAACAACAATAATAACTAAGGTTCTACGTCCAAAAACCGTGATGTATCAGCGAGAGACGCTTTGGGGGAGGGCTTCGAATATTTTCACCGCTTGACGTTATTCAACGTGCTATGAAATCACACCGCTGCTACTTACAACAACGTTTACTCCGGAAACAGGTGAGCACATATACAGGCAACATTGCTTTAATATCGGTGGCGTCAACGAATTCTGCTTTGTAGGTTTCCATCACATCAACGTCGAAG